TATACTATGAAAGAATGCTTTTGCTAACCAGAAAAATAAAACCTATTTTTATAACTACACATATAATTGGTCAAGTTTTTAAAAAGCATTTTCTAAAATTTCCTGGTAGTACTAACAATAATATCACTGGGGCTTTAAATTAATAAAAAAATACTTTTAAATTTAAATGTCAAATTAACTCAGCACTATTAATATACTTGAAAGAGCATGCTAATATGAGCATATTTTAATGTTTGCTGCTATGTGATAAGGGTACATCTGACTTTACATTCATAGAATATGTTAAGACTTAAAAACTCTTTTTAATTGTGGGAAATACAATGATTTCATACAAAGAAAAACAAAAATTATAGGACCTGCAATAATTATAATACAAAGACCCCTTTGTTTTCTTTCACACGAAGGAAGTATGTCTCCTTTGGCATTTGGCCCAAACTTTCAAATTCAAAGGATTATTTAGTAGATAGTAAGTGTTACATAAACCACTAATGTAAATTGTCTTTTTTTTTTGTTCTGCTCTTTGTAACACAGACATAGAAATTTTAATGTAGAGAATCCCTTCTATGTGTTCAGTGAATCACTCTCAAACAGCATGTGAGATTTTTCACCAAAAGAATGTTCCATCCTAAACTTGGGAAATAAGCAGAGAAGCCATCTTTACTAACAAAAAAATGGTTGAAGATATTAAATCTGTCTGATTCCAAAGTTACCAAATCACTCTCAAGATCTCTCTTTTACTTTCCAGAAAAAAATACCAGAATTTTATTAGCTTACAATTCTCATTAGAAGTCTAGGTTAAAATACGCTAACTTTTACAACTATATCCCACAGATGTCCGCTCACAAATATCATCAGTCAACCTAACTAAGGTCATATATCAGGGAGCTCTTGATGAATGTCGGTGACAGATTGTTTTTAATGGTGTCAGTAAACTAGATCTCATGTATACTTTTGCAACCTTCTACACACAATAATTTTGAACCCTTTAAATGTGCCATCATAAATATGCAGTGGCTACATAGGAGAACGTTATTTAGGGTGAAGTATGATGATGTCTGTAGCTTACTCTGAAATAATTCAGTGGAGAAAAACATGCACATACAAATACACATACATGTAGGTAGAAAGAGACAGAACAAATATGGCTTCTATTATAGATGATGTGTACGCGGATATTCATTGTAGTATTCTTTCAGCCTTCTACATATTTGAAAAATTAATGTTTTTAAATATTTTAAAATGAGATGTTTATACTTCATTGGTTTATTCTTAAAAGTAGATTTTATAAGTTTTATTTATATAACATACTAAGTTTAAAAACATAAAAAGAATCAAGACTCTTTTCTAGAAATTACTTTTCGTAGTTTATTGGGTGTTCCACATTTTCAATTTTCCTCGCATTAAGTACTAATGTTTTCCATCTGAACTGGCTATGAATAATTAATACTACTAGTTAAACAAACTCAAGAAAATATGATTTCAAGACAATTACTCAGTTTTTACACAGTATTCCTTGTACTGTCCATACTTTTCTGGAATTTCCCCCAACATTCACTGTTACCAGACACTACCTCCATCCATCTATACTCCTGAAAATAATCAGGGAGCAGGGCCTGTCATACTTAACAAATATTTCGAAGCCTGTGGGCACTCAAGATTTGTAAGAATTTTTTTTTTTTTTTTAATGTGGAACGTAAAGCTAACAGGTTATGTCTTACAGAAAATCATGAACTGGTTAGTCTTGGTTTGAAAGGAGTTTTTTTGTTTGTTTGGGTTTTGTTTTTATGTTTTTGAGTTTTCATGAAAAGCTATATAAGCTTTGGGAACCTCAAGCACCCAGAGAAAAGGTAAGAGAATTTCAAAAATTTAATCATAGTCTCTTCTTCTCCTCTCTAGATTTTTCAGAATGCCAACATTTTGTATGATGGTCATACAAAGGCTGGTAAAAGAATCACCCGCCTCTAAATCCTTATATTTGCAGTTGTAGGTGCTTATTAGAACAAGGTTACCAAAGATTTATATTCATCATCGCTTTTGTCAGAAAATGATGACCAGTATTTCTAGGCATATTTTAACTTCAACAATAAATTTATCATCAGGAAATTTGAAAAATGATTCTTACGAATGTAGCTTCCATCAATATACCTTCATTTAACCAACACTTATTTAAAATTCTCTCTGCTTCCATGATATGAAAATCTTTTCAAAATGTATGCTATTAAAATGTCTAAATTTGGAAAACATCTGGCCTGTCAAATTATTTGGGGGGCTTGTGGTTTTAAGTACATTGTTTGAGGTGGCATATTTGGAAAGAATTCACTTATCATTCTCAGGCTTCATAGAGAACTAGCCTTGAAAACAAATGTATGTGGTAGTTCACTGCTACCATAGAGAATCAATAGCCATCTATTTAATTTGCTAAGACAATGTAAATTAGTAACTTCCAGCCAGATGTGTGATATACACATCAAACAAACTGCAACCTGTTCATTATGAAAATCCTGTCAACACACACAGAGCCACTTGATGGCATTTCATCTAAGGCAGTTTCCACATTTGCAGCTATAAAAATCGTCCTAAGAATTTTTATACAAAGAATTGAAGTTGAGACTCATAAAAGGGTAATCAATTTCAGCTTTTTGTCTTGTGTGCTTCTGTTTGTTTATTTCTATTTTCATTCAGAGGTATAAAACATTTAGAAAAATATGAGCCATGCTATTTTTCCTTCTGTAAATCACTTATCCTCATTACATCTTTTTAATCTTATGTAAAGTTGGTAGCCTAATCCTGCAGCTCTAAAGAAGTGTGTGAAGTGAAGAAGGACATGGCCAACAGCAGAAGAAAAGTACACTTATCCACCGGAAAACAAAACAGAATATTCCAAAATGACTCCAAACATAAATTAAGCTTACCCATTGGGAGGTCTAACTTGCATTCTGATCATTTGTATGGGTCTGTGTGACTATATACCCTGCTGTTTGATAAAAAATGATTACTAACCACAGGCACCCACCAGAGAACAGAGTGTATGTATAATGCCTGTGATGTCTCAGACATACAAAGCGCCTTCTTAAAGAATGTCCGTTTCCTCTCCGTGGTAAGCAGACATAATTTTTCACTCTTTAATACTTCTGCTTCACAGAGTGGCTTATTTTATGAAGTATGCTTTGCCATTTTCTCTTACGTTTATTTTAATAATACAAAAAACTGCATTCATAAAATAGATGGTTTTGTTTCATGATACCCAAAATACTTGTATCTTTTCTGCTCTGTATTAAAATCCACAGCTTTCTTGCTATTACAAAAACCTAATAGTGTTTATTTTAATACCATTTATTGAATGAAAGGAATAAAAAAGATTCCTCTTAATAACCAGCTATTATTCTTGAATATTGAATCCTCATCTAAACCAAATTCATTTTTCCAAGTCTATTGAATTAAATTTTCTTATTAAACAGGGCACAGAGTAAATAGTCTTATTGCCAAGCATAATATTTTCAAGCACTACATTTTTAATTTGGCAATTTAAAACAACGTGGAATGAATCTAGTCCTCATGGCCTGTAGGATAGTCTGATTCCAAATAGTACCCCCTTAACCAATTTCCTAATGTGAAAATAGCATTTCTACTAAGTGCCGGGCGTGTCAATGCTTCCAAAGTAAATAACCCCTGAGGTCCCCTAAAATCACAAGAATTTCAGCGACTACCAAAAAA